CCGCCATAACTCCAAGCGATTCACTCTATCAACTAGCACTACATCGTCTCTATACACACGGTCAGACCTCATCCATCACTAAGTAAAACAAATAAGGGCTCAAAGTCCCTTGATGTAGTCCTATCCTAATCGGGAAGTCATCCGTGTTCCATCACTGTTCAACTCTAGTCACAACATTGTTGTACATGTCCTTAATGAGCCCGACGTACTTCGTTGGGACTTTATATTTGTCCAAAGCCCATCACATAACACAAATAGTCCCAACATCCCTAAATCTCTGAACTTAGATAATGCTACTTTCTTGAGGTGAGGGGACCACATGCTCTAAGGATAAATGCTGCTCTCTGAATCTCCAGTCACAATTCACAGCCAAGGATAATGTTATGGATAATTTGTTACTAGGTTTTGCCATTACAACAATAAGCCAATATTAATTAGAGCAATTTCAAGAGAGTCACAATTCTCACGTAATATCCGATTTAGACTTTTGAAAGAGAAAATACATTCCAACAGTATTGCAATATAGAATTCTACAATCCCAAGTCATCTATTCCATTGTTCTCGGTCGCTAGAATAAGCGGGCAAATGACGCTCACCATATGTCTCCCCCCCCCCACTCAATTCGCACGTGTGGCTCGTTCTTCACACGGGAGTCATCTTAGGCCCTGTTTGTTTTCCATGGCAAAACTTTTGACCAACGCTTTTAGTCCTTTTTTTTTGCAAATGGATGCAAATAGGTAGGCTAAAAGTGAGCAAAGAGAGGCTAAAGTTTAGTCTGGAGGTGCAAAACTGAGCTCAAAGTATCGGGGGGTATGAATGACACCTTATTTTACACTTTTAGCTTTTTTTTTTTTTTGCCATGGATCCAAAAACACAAGCCAGGACTAAAGTTTAGCAGTTTAGCAGCAAAAGTTGCCATGTCAAATGGATCCGAACATGGTCTTAGTGTGATGCCATCTCTCCGACGGTTCAAAGCCGACAAGAGATCCAACCCATAGATACATTAATTTTTTTCCACAAACTTAACCTGAGCCTAACATGTTTTCCTGCCCCCACCGGTAGATACATTGGTTTTCTTCGACGCGCGAGCGTCCGTCCAAGTGAACGATTTTCCGACAGCTACCTTTTCTATTTGAGAAACAAATAATTCACACATTTCCTTTTCTGTACGGGACCACATGCGTCCAGCATTTTCTTAGCGCTCGCGCACGCGCTCCCCCATGATACAGACGTCACCCCTTAAAAAACAAATATTTATTTTAAAATATTATAACTTCTGAATGGTATATCCATTTTTAATCCCGTTTGTACCATTGTGTTCTACGCGACAAGATAAACAAAACTAAATCCCACATGTATATGTTTCGAAAAACTTTTTCAGTAACAATTTATGTGTACTATCTTATACCATATAATTTATAATATATAACTTATTACATGTAACTTATACGAAAAACTTAAAGCTCAAGGGTTATGAAACACAACTATTTACAAAAAGTTATTAAACACAAAGAAACAAAATTAACTTATAGCTTATGCCAAAACTTACAAACACAAAAGTTATTAACACACAAAAGGAATGAATTAACTTATAAACACAAAAGTTACGAAACACAACTTATGTATAGAAGTTATTAAACACAACTTGTGTGCATAAGTTTTTTATACAACTTATGTATATAAGTTATTATTATAAGTTAGTCTATACAACTTGTGTACATAAATTATAAATTAATATATAAAAATTGATAGAAGAAAAAAGTTTCTCAAAATATATATAAGTGGGGTTTAGTTTTAGTTCGTCCGATCACGTAGAATATATTGGTGCAGACGGAATTGAAACTGGATACACCGTTGATAAGTTATAGTAATTTGAAATAAATATAATGTATTTTTTTTAGAATTCAATACAGTTGTCCGGGCACGGGTTCTACTGGTCGGATCGTTTCAGCAACGGGAATCGATGAACGACGCGGGATTGGATTCTGGTTTTTTTTCCCATGGTGCTTCGGGTACGTTTTACTATTAGCCTGACTGGTTGTGCTATACAGCGTTGTGTCTGCACTTGTTGCTGCCTACTTGCGTAGGATTCCAAGAGAGCAGCACAAATCTCAAAACCGGCAGCACAATCACAGCAACATAGCCGAGGAGACATGCGTTGTTATGGTTTTAGATTTGGTACATAGATTTGTTACGTACTTGGACATACGTTGTCTAAATACATAGTAAAACCTATACAGTATGTATAAAAAAGTCAAAGCGTCTTACTCCCTTCGTACTCAAAAGAATGTAATTTTCGTTTTTCGAGAAGCCAAGCCATTTGAACTTTAACTGAATTTATATAAATATACTACTAATATTCATGATACAAAATAAATATCGTTAGATTACTTATAGAATATATTTTTATAATAAATTTATTTAGAGACATAAATATTAATCCTATTTACTATAAACTTGGTTAAATTTGGATTAGTTCGATCAACACGTTTTCTATAATTGCATTCTTTTGCGGATGAAGGGAGTATAATTTGGAAAGGGGGGGTAACAAAAATATCTAGAATTTAAGTTTTTTGGGCGGAGGAGTACCCCAAAACTCCAGTCGAGGTTGCAACTTGCAAGTGGGGACTTCGTGATGCACTTGGCAGGCAATGAGGCAAGAGTGACCAGCCGGCTTAAAATGCCATTTCACCACCGTTTCTTTTACAACACCTGCAGCTTGCAATGCAAATCTACGCTCGGTGGATCACTGGTTTTGATAGACGATGTGGCTGCTTTTCAACAAAATCACGCTTTTAGCTAACTCAATTCCTAGTCAACGGAAAATGACCACGCCGTCCCAATTGTAAGCGACACAAAGCGTCATTGCCACGTGGTAAAAAGCTAACACGAGGATAACGTACACGCCAACATTGTTACACAAGCAGACCCAAGTTAATGTGGTGTATTCAGTGGAGCTGAGGTGCGCACGATGATTGAGCCATGTTGTACTGTCGCTTTGATTTAACTTCGTGTAGAGCAGGATATTAAAGTATTTAGTTTCAGGTACCGCCAAAATTATGTTCACAATTAAAATTTTAAGAAGAAAAGGGCTTCATACACATCGGCCTTTTTTCCTTTTGGACTTCATACACAATCCGAAGAAAGTGCAGAAAAGCACGCAACTTCATTACAACATGGAGCATTGAAGCTCAAGTTCTCGAAATGAGAAGAGAAAAAAAAGCTAGCACATAGCAGCAAGGTGATACAAAGGAAAAGAATGAAACTAAGCTTCAATTCTATCCCAAAACTTCCATCCAAACTTCACAAGGACCTCCATACTGTCTCCAGGACACAACATCCGCTCTTGAGTTTTGGCCTCTCTTCTTCTTTATGAAGTGCTGACCATGTTCGGAACCAATAACAGTATAACAAATTAAAATTCAATAGATTTGATAGGAGGGACTCTGGTAATTCTAAAAACGAACTAGCCAAACTGTCAGAGTACCAAGTAGGGTGAACACATGAGTGCAACAACCTTTCGCTCGAGCATATCTCCGCAAGGTCCCTTCTTCGAAAGGGAACAATAAACTGGGTTATTATTTTCAATCACCACTGATCTCCCAGTGTAGCGTAGCCTTACGCAACGAAAGCGACCGTGGCGGACTAATCAAGCGTGGCAGTAAATGCAGCACGGATCTTTGGCGCAACAAAGCAGCTGGAGCTGCAAACCCAGCCACACAGCCGAGGCCGAAGTCAACGTCCCGGCGACACTCCGGCGCCACGCTCCCGCTGTCCAGGGCGGCGCCAGAATTCTCCACCCGCCGTTGCCCCTGCGCCAGCCGCCAGCCATGGACACGGTCGTTGGTGCGGATCCGCGGGCGTAGCATACGCGTACACGTACGCGCGCGCGCACGGTGACGCCTTGCTGGGAAGTGAGAACCGCAGCGCCTCGCGGCAGCACCGATCCCATCGCGGCATCGCCGAACCGGTCAACCACCCCTCCGCCCGCACGGTTTGATCCCGTCGTCGGCGCGGGGAAAACCTGGCGCGGCGTGGTTCCTCCGCCGGGGCGAACCGAGGCGCGCGTCGCGTGACTCGCGTCGGACCGTCTGTGCGCGGACGAAGGAAGCATCGCGTGCTCTGCCCGCCACAGCCCCCGCGCGCCGGCGGTCGGTACCCACGCGAAACCCGAGCGCGGAAACAAACGTAATAAAAATCTTGAAAACAGCAAAGCACGAAACACGCACAAAAGCGCACCATTTCCTTCCCTTTCTATTCTATCCCTCCCTCCTCGGCTCCTCCCCTCTTTGCCCGAGTCGCTAGCCTCCCTGCCTGCCCCGCCTCCTCCCGTCGTCGCCGTGGACCGCTTCCTCCACCTCCGCTTCCACAGCAGCTGAACGAGGTCAACTCTTCCGCCGGTGGAGCGAGAGAGCGAGCGAGGGCGAGAGCGGGGAAGAGACGGGAGGGTCCCGGATCTGAGCCGAGCTGCGCTCTCCGCGCGCCCGTCACCGACCGACTACCGCCCGACACCCAGGTCTTGTCGCCCCGCGCAGATCTGCTGCTGCTCCTGAGGTAAATCGTCGATTGCTTGAAACCGTATCCGGTAGATCCGGTATGCTTCCGCGAGCAGAGGGTAGTTCGGTTGCTAGCTTGGCGGCTAGACCTGCTCTAGTAGTATCCGATAAGCATCGGCTAGTATATCTACTAGCCAGCCACCCTATATTTGGTAGATTCACCAAATGGAGTGAAATCCAGCCTCCCGGCTCCGCGGATCTCTCGAACTCCGTTGATTCTTTGATTCCTTTCCATAGAACCCGCGAAATTGCAGGGATCTGCGCGTGCCAAAGCGCCTAACTGATTAGATACTATTACCGAGAGCGAACGTCGCTGATTTTTTTTTTTTCTAAACTCATCATATGGTTCCTTTTTGTGTTCAGATCTGAATCCAAGCTTGAGCTCCGGTTGGTAGTCGTTGGTCGGTACATAAGAGGCGGCGGCAGGGGAGGTGGGCTGCGAAGATGTCGTCGAGCACGATCCGGAAGGCCCTGGGCGCGGTGAAGGACCAGACCAGCATCGGCCTCGCCAAGGTCACCAGCAACATCGCGCCCGAGCTGGACGTGCTCATCGTCAAGGCCACCAGCCACGACGACGAGCCGGCCGAGGAGCGCCACATCCGCGAGATCCTCCACCTTACGTCCGGATCCCGCGCCCACGTCGCTGCTGCCGTGGCGGGGTGCTCCCGGAGGCTCTCCCGCACCCGCGACTATGTGGTCGCGCTCAAGTCGCTCATGCTTGTGCATCGCCTCCTGGCCGACGGCGACCCGTCCTTCCACCGCGAGCTCCTCCACGCCACGCCGCGGGGCACCCGCCTGCTCAACCTCTCCGATTTCCGGGACGAGGCGCACTCTGGATCCTGGGATCACTCTGCCTTTGTGCGCACCTACGTGCTCTACCTTGACCAGCGCCTCGAGTTCTTCCTCCATGAACGCAAGCAGGGGTCAAATGCTGGCAGTAGCAGCAGCAATAATGGTCCATCACCACGGGACCGTGACCGCTGGGGTTCACCTGATCCCTATGGCCGCCGCTCCCCCTCCTACTCGTCACCCCCTGGGTATGGCGGATATGATGATTACCGCGAGAGGAATGGCGGGAACAATGATGACAAGAGGCCGCCGACTCCAGTGAGGGATATGAAGCCAGAGCGGGTCTTTGCTCGTATGCACCACCTACAGCAGCTGCTTGACAGGTTCCTTGCTTGCCGCCCCACTGGTGGCGCAAAGCACAGCAGGATGGTGCTGGTTGCGCTGTATCAGATTGTGAGAGAGAGCTTCCAGCTCTACGCTGATATCTGCGAGGTGCTGGCGGTGCTGCTGGACAGGTTCTTTGACATGGAGTATGCTGAGTGCGTGAAGGCTTTTGAGGCATATGCTAGTGCTGCAAAGCAGATTGATGAGCTCTGTGCATTCTATTCATGGTGTAAAGATACCGGAGTTGCAAGGTCATCTGAGTACCCAGAGGTGCAGCGTGTCACTGATAAGTTGCTGGAGACGCTGGAAGAATTTATGAGGGACCGGGCAAAGAGGCCCAAGAGCCCACCACGGGAGCCTGAACCTGAGCCTGTCAAGGAAGAGCCTGAGCCAGATATGAACAGCATCAAGGCGCTTCCAGCACCAGAAGATTATAAGGAGCCTGAACCTGTGAAGGTGGAGGAAGAGGTGAAGCCAGAGCCACCCCCGCAGCCACAGTGTGACTTGGTGGATCTCAGAGAAGATACTGTTAGTGCCGATGAGCAAGGTAATAGGCTTGCTCTAGCTCTCTTCCAGGGGCCACCCGCTGCTGGTGGAAGCAATGGTTCATGGGAGGCTTTCCCTTCAAATGGTGGCAACGAGGTGACTTCGGCATGGCAGAATCCTGCAGCTGAACCTGGGAAGGCTGATTGGGAGCTTGCCCTTGTAGAGACAGCAAGCAACTTGTCCAAGCAGAAGCCAGCAATGTCAGGTGGTATGGACCCGCTGCTGCTGAATGGTATGTATGACCAGGGTGTTGTGCGCCAGCATGTCAGTTCACAGGTGAGCACCGGGAGTGCCAGCAGCGTCGCCCTGCCTGCTCCTGGACAGAAGACTCAGATGCTTGCTCTGCCTGCACCGGATGGTTCAATGCAGGCTGTTGGTGGTGACCCCTTTGCAGCCTCCCTTGCCGTCCCACCACCGTCCTATGTGGAGATGGCAGATTTGGAGAAGAAGCAACAGCTCTTGACGCAGGAGCAAATTATGTGGCAGCGGTACCAGAGGGACGGCATGCAAGGGCAATCGAGCCTGAACAGGCTGGACCAGGCTTACAACAACGGTTTCGCCCCCAACCCGGCCATGCCCTATGGGATGCCCACCGCATACAACACGAACCCCATGCCGATGGCTTACACAGGGAACACTGGGTATTACTACCCTACTTACTGAGTAAGCCTATTCTTTATTCATCCTTACAGTTGCTGTGAATTTTTGTTCTGTGTTGTCATCTTACTCCCAGCCCTGGGGTTGTGTCCAGCATCAGCTGCTGTTCCCCTGTCTCTGGATCAAACCTTTTGGTCTGATATACGTAATGTAATTTTATTTGTTTGGAACCAAATGCAGCATCCGAGGGTGGCTATAGTTGATTACATAATCTCAATTGATCTTTACACTGTTTTGCTAATCTTTTGCATGTTATCACTTTTCTTCACTCGATGTTGCAGTGCGGTGTTGTTGCGTGACTGTCACACCGATGCTGTCACTCGCATCATTGCATGTAGTGGTATTCGTGTCGCATCTTCTATGAATACATTATCTACCTGCCGTGACGAGAAATGCTCTGTTTCTCAGATCTGGATCGCCATGTTGGAAAAGGTTGCTGGTTGTTGGCATTAAGGGTGTCATGTTTGGTGGTAATTATAACTATTTTTGTTGTGACAAATACTTTTCCGAAATAGACTTGAGAGAGGCCCTACTTTTTAGCATGCTGCTCTTTGAAGCTATGAAGTATGGTGTGTGTGTGGACCTCTTGGACTACAATGGCGATAGTTATTCTTGGAGAGTACATTTTAGAAATGAAAGGAAGAAAATTATCGACAAGGTTTTGAAATTGGTTGAAAACGGTAAGTTTTTATGTTTTGCTATGCTTGGAAACTCTAATCTATCATAATGTATAAAACGATATGGTACGGTACGGGAATTTCTCTTACCCCTGCTTCCACCCAATTCTTTCCAGCCAGGGTGAAAATTAAAATAAAATATTTGCGGTGAATTTCTTCGCTAGCTCTGGAGTCAGTAGTCTGCTGACGACTTTCGCAGGCTAATCATTGAATAAATCACAGTGACCTAATTTATGGACCGTCACTGACTCTCTATTTGATCTGTTAGGGAGGCAGGTGTAGTGCTTGCTGGACCTGGACACCTTTGGAGTGTGACAAATAAATGGGTCAAAAGAACCTGGAAATGATTCATCACGTAGCGGCAAGCACTAAACAGAGAGAATTTCGGCCGATTGGGGCGTCGCAGAGTGCGCGCTTTCCGGGCATGGCACGCTCGCCAGACGGCGACCCCCGGCAGGATAACAAGCACGTCGCCGTCGACTCGGGGCTTGGATGATATATCTAAGGCACTATGCCATACTCTTCTTTGTATGCGAATTGATGGTGGTCCGTGCGCCGTATGGCGAGGAATATCACAGCAAGAACTAGGGCTTTTCAGCATTTATTAGAAATAGAAAGCCCTAGCATAGCATGCTCTGAATTCTGAAGACGAACCCTGCATGGACGCAACCGAATGGTCTGGCAACAGTGAAGCAGGCAAGCACAACTTCGACATGGCGATGACATTGTTTACCCAAACGGCCTGTAGTCCGTTAATTAAGGGTTTGTCTGATTTGTTCCTCAGACAACTTTGGCATGGCTGGCCAGGCAGTAATTTAGGCTCTCGATTTCGAGTGACTGGTGGCCTAGTTTGTTGCCTGCCAATATAGTGGCCAGTCGAATCTATTTATTGGGCAGTTTGTCTTGTTTATACGGTTGTTTACCCTGTTCGGATGTACATCTAGTCCTAATAAACAGTTAGGTAATTTTGATTTAGGGGCTGGTTGATGTCCCCCGAGCAATGTTGCCTGGCGGCAAGAAGGATCCACACGCGCACGGGTTGGTCTCTTGTGGTGGAAACTGCCTAGGTTCTCGACTTTGGCATGAATGCTCGTACTTTTCTAGATTTATTTTAGGATTTAATGGCGCTATGCTTTTAGTGATAGGCGACGCCTCCAAACAATAAACAACCCAAACAATCGAGGCACCCCTGGAGCAACCCGTTGGTAGCACAACAACATGGCCTAAAATAGAAGCTAACAAGGATACAAAGCCAAAAAGAACCCTCTTTGGTCAGTGTCATCCTTGACCTTCTAGGCTACTTGCTGAACCAATTGAAATTTATTTTCGATTATGCGGAAACACCTATGTATTTCTCTTCTCTTGTATTTGCCAATGCCTGAGTTAGTTGCTGGCAGCAAGAGCTTTGACGGGTGTTGGCAGTTGTTTTGGGAACTGCAGAGAGTGTGAGGGTACTTGAGGCCAAGCCTCATGAGTTGGGTGTGGACAATGATTCTCAGCATATTTTCAGCCAGAGGCAATGGTTCAGTGATTTTGTTGAGTGGGTGTCTTTTGACAGCTCGTTTGTTACGGCACATTCTTCATCTAAATTACTCTCTCCGTTTCAAATTACAAGACTGTCGGCGTTTCGGAACCGGGGGTCCTTAACCGACTAGTGAATTTGTGCTGCGTGCTCCCTCTTCCGGATGGAGATGCAAAGAGACACAAGGTTTATACTGGTTCGGGCAATGGATGCCCTACGTCCAGTCTGAGAAGGTGTTCTTGTATTCCTTACACCAGGGTGCTCGTAGTAGGGGGTTACAAGCTAGGCGAGAGAGGGAGTTCGTCCCAGATCTCTGTGAGGGGAGGTGATATGAATTACAGAACGAGGCGTGTTGTTCGTGCGAGTATCTGTGATTCTATCCGTCGTCCTGGAAACGGTCCTGGCTGTCTCCTTTTATAGCCGCAGGGAGGAAACCAGGAGTACATAAGAGAGCTACACGTGGAGCAAGGACTATTCGATGACGTATTTCCTCCTGGAGCAGCATGGCGTTGTCGTGGGAGTTCCCGTAGATGTCTAATCGGTATGGTCTTCACTGCAAGTAACATGCTGCACATTTATTGACTTGGTGGATTGCGAGAGGCTCGGCGGCCTTCGTAGCTTTGGTCGTGCAAGACTGTGTCGTGCCGAGGCCTGCCGTGCGAGGCTGAGAAGTGACCTAGGTGCGATCACGGGTCTCAGCACCATCGGCGGAATAGTGCGAGACGTGCGCCCTCTGAGATCTGATGCACTGTGTTGTCGATGGGATGATAAAAAAAGTGATCTCGACCGTTGTCCGTCGCTCTGTTGCGGCCTTTGCCGCCGTCGTGGCTTACGTGAGTGGGTGCGGCCGAGCGCGTTAATCGGATGTGACACCGCCAGAGACTTTTGAGGCGGAGGCGACGAGGTTGTGGGATTTGCTGCCCGGCCTCGGGCGGCGGCGGCGAGCGCGGCCGATTCGTCCGAGGCCCTTCCGAGGGGTCTCGGGCGAGGCGGATGGGCGAGGCGTAGTAAGATCGGTGAATCCGAGGCCCCGCCGAGGGTGCTCGAGCGAGATGGAGTGGTCGGTCCGCGATTCCGAGGCTGAGAACCCGCTCGACTCCCCACGCTTGGCGATGTCCTTGGTGCGAGGAGTTAGCAAAGCCACGGTGGTGGTAACCCCGCTCTGCGCTGCCTCTCGGATGGCGGGGGTTGATGCGACGGCGGCGTGTAGCGGTCACTTCGCCGCTCCTGTGCCATCGTCGTCTGTCAGAGTGGTTGGGCGCTGGATGTGACGTTCGGTCGAGCGATTTGGTCAAAAAAGCGGTCACGGGTTGGTGCCGAGCCGGCCTCGCGCGAATCGGAGAATCGGCACTTCTTCCGAGGCCCCGGGCGAGGGGGCCTCGACGAGGAGGCCTCGACGCGGGGGCCTCGGCGGGGCGGTCTTGGGCGAGTCGGAGAACCGTTTGCTTCCGCTGGGGCTCGGCGACGGGGTCTCGTGCGAATTGGAGATTTCGGCCGAGACCTCGTTTGTTTATTCCGTTGGTTCTGTTTTTAGGGTCTAAGCAGTTTTTCGATCTTTGCTTGGGGTACCCCATTTTCTGGTATCCGACAAAGACGTTTTAGCATTTCTAAATACATAAATTTTGATATGCATCTAGATATACACTTATGTCTAGTAAAATCAATGCATCTAGAAAACTAAAGTCTTATAATTTGGAATAGAGGAAGTAGTTAGTCTAAACTAAGCTATTGATCTTTCAATCAGCTTGGCTTCATTAAATTAATTCCGATAGTCTTTGAGATTTACTGTGTGCACCCCACTATTTTTAGGAATCAGAGGCCATGCGACACAGAATTTACGCAACATAAACATAAGGAAAGATGATTCAGGTTCTTTTAATTTTTACCCAAAATAAGCAACACATTAGGTGTTATCGTACTAGCAACTATGTCAACAATGTTCTCACACTAAGGGCATGTTTGGTAATACATGGTTGGTTACTAGCTAGGCCAAAAATTAGCCCAAATTAACTATGGTTGACAAGCTAGTTAGCAACTAGTTGAAGACTTGAAACGGTTAGCTCACCTATTAGCCTCCTGTTTGAATGTGCGTGAGCTAATTTTAACTAATTTTTAGCTAGTAATGACGTAAAGATTGGTCACACACTAGCTAGGGCTAGATCGTCCGGATCACCACGGACCGAAGAACGCAGTGGAGAGGTTTACGAGCAAACCACTAAATGATAGATATCGCCCTTACGTGGCGAAGAATGGCTAGTTTCCAGGCAAACTAGAAAAGGATAACCAATCATGCTTGTGTGACGAAAAACGTCTAGTTCCCGAAAAAACTACCGAAGGAACCGTTGAAGCTCTCGCCGGGAGGGACCCCATAGGGACAAGAACGTCGTCGGATTGCCCTAAGTCGGCCAGTAAGCCTAGGGCACCGTCCTTGATCGTTGGATCAAGTGATGAATAACAACATAGGAAATAAAAGAGTTGTATTGTATTGTAGATGTAAAAAGATAATTGGATTGTTGAATACCTCAATTGCTCGTATACCCTTTATTTTATGGGGAGTAGAGGTGGTCTGATCCCGTTAGAAAATCAATGTGGTGTTATTATCTTTATAGAGTTTTTCCTTAAAATTGGTCTGGGCCCAATTTAAGTGTCAACAGCTAACTAGTGAGTCCTTGTATCCCAGCAGGTCCTAAATCTATATTACCAAGTATACTGGGCACACCGGACCCGTGCATCCGTGCCATACGTCTCCAACCGTACTCCATGCCCGTTGTCGAAGCAAGAGCATGAGTGACCAAAAGATAGGCGGG